GAGGAGAGGCATGCCTCGACGTGAGCGATGTCGAGTTGGCCACGCCCAGCGGGTCACATGACCACCAAGCCATGCCCACCAACTAAGCCACGGCCACAGAACCGGTGGTAAAAAAAAATTTGAATCCCACCCTTGTTCCTAACCCCCCGCCCACCATATTTGACGTGAAGGTAGTTGGGTTCTGTACTCCCTTATCTTGCAGGTATGCAAAATGGGAAACTGTTCACACACACACATACACACCCTTGAAAAGAGGTGTGAGGGGGCCATTTCCCCTTTTGGGGGTGCAATGTCAGGGGTCTAACCAGAGAGAGTTTGAAGGGCCTCACCCCCGCCGATCTTACTGGGTGGCTGAGGAAGGTTTCATTGCCCATAATCGATGTTGTGGTTAATCTCGTGTGCCACAAGCAGTGAAACGATCTGTTTAGTGACCATTCGACCCTGGAAAAGGTGACTTGCGTCCTTGAATTTAGGAGTGCAGCAAAACCCTCACGATCCTTGGAATCAAAATTCCAGGTGCTTGTGCAGGTAGTCCTCAACTTACGATTACAACCGAGTCCCCCAAATGTAGGTTTCTGAGCGAGTTTTGGCCCCCATTTCATTGCTAAGTGAATCGTTTTCTTCAATTAGCAACGTGGTTAAGCGAATCTGGATTCTCTGTTAACTTCGCTTGGTGAAACGTGATCCAAGACACTGCGACCGTCATAAACGGGAACCACATAGCGATTATAAGTGTGAAAACAATGTGTATAAGTCCATTTTTTTCCGCCGCCATTGTAACTTTGAATGGTCACTAAATGAACATAAGTCGAGGATTACCTGTATTTAGGACCGGGTCCTGGGATCAAATGTTTGCCTTTTTTCGCCTTTCCCGCTGGCTTCCAACAATCAAAGTCTATTGGGGGGGGGAATGCCGATTCATTTAACAACCACATGGTTTGCTTAACAACGGCATGATTCGTTTAACGTTCGTGGCAAAACTGTCGAAAAATTGGGTTTGACTCACTTAACTCTCCCCTTGCTTAGCAACAGCCATTCTGGTCCCCAAATTCTGGTCATAAGCTGAGGACGCCTTTACAAGGGCAGTGAAAAATGTGACTTACAGCAAGTCCTCACCCTTACGACCCATTGCAATATCCCTACCACCTGATCGAAATTCAAGGGCTTGGCAACCGGCGTGCAGGCGATGTGATTCGCTTAACAACGGCACCGATTCGCTTAACAACCTTACCCCCCCCCAAAAAAAACGGCCATGAAATCGGGACCCCCCCTCCCCCGCTTGGTCGACCTGCTACCTGCATTCCATCTCCTTGGGAACGAAAACCCGGGCGTTGCCATCTGTCTGGGCGCCCAGTTCGAATCCAACCCCCGCCTCCCGTCAGGTACGTTACCTGAATCGGCGAGTCGAATGCAAATCATTTGCGCCTTTTGGTGCGCCATACACACAGACATACACACCCACACACACACCCACACACTTGACTTTCAAGATGAGATTGGACTCCCCATCTGTCAGAAATGGTGTGGGGTTGGTCTAGATGACCTACAAGGTCCCTTCCAACTCTGATTATCTGTTTATTTATTTCCCCCCACCTCACCCCCCAGAAAATATTTGATGTCCGTGCCTAAAAATGATCCCCAGAGGCACCTGGCAGACTCAGCACCGCTCCCTGGTTTCTTTCCAGACGGGCTGGGATGATGGGAGTCGGAGTCTGGCGTGGCCCGGAGGGCACCCTGTTGGGGAAGGGATAGGCTTTGTGAGTTTGGCTGAGGGCCTGTGTGTGTTTGTGTGTGTGTGTGTGTGTGTGTGTGTGTGTGTAATACGGAACACACCCCAGGCATGCCAGGAGGTTGCTTGGAGGGGAGGTCTGTTTGTGCTCTGTTGCGGTGGGTGAATGATTAACCTGCGCGCACCTTTGCTCTCACCTGGAGACAGGTGTGCCCCCTCCCCCTCTCCCCTCCCCCCTCCCTCCTTTGCTCTCCATCTGTCTGCCCTGCCCATCCCCTCCACAGGGAAGGAGGGAGAGGCGGCCACGCAGTGGGCCCACAAACCCGCTCACCCACCCAACCACCCACGCCCCGCTCGCACCTGGCAACTCTGGGAGAGGACGGGGGGGGGCTGGCACCGATTTGCCACCCCGCCACCCCACCCCACCCCCCCACACGCCCCAGACGAATCGGGGCAGTCGCTCTCCCGGTTTGGCTGGCGGGGGCACAACCGCCAGGTGGGAAGGAGGTTTTGCAGCAACCTGTATTTCCAGCCCGGGCGTTGCAAATTCCAGTGGCAGGGAGTTCCGCAGGGCGAAGTGGTGTGTGCCAGGCCTCCTGCCAAGCTTAACGGGTGGGGGGGGGGGGGGGGCAGGCTGCTTTTGGCAACTGGCCGGGGTTGTCGAAAGGGGAGAAGGGAGCGGGGGGCAGGGAGTGGGGGGGGGGGGGGGATCCCCAGGGCGACTTCCGGTTGTGCCATAATGGAAGAAGCGGAAAACCGGCGGCCTTTCCAATCAGTGCAATGGAGGCCTGGCCTGGAGATGCGCACACACATATCCACACATACACAAACACACACAATCACACACACTGATATCCAACGTGTTGGAAATAAAAATACACGTTATACATAAAAATATAAAAAAGGCTGAACAACGGGAGCATGTCAAAAGTATAAAAGCAAGGCGTGTGTATATGCAGGGAGATATATTTCATTTGATTAACAGAATTGGAAGGGGACCTGCAGGTCATCCAGTCCGACCCCCCCCATTTATGAAACCTTTAAGCCTCTTATATATACCATTTTATTTTCGAATTTCCTTATTTCTTAACAAACGCTACACAATCGCATTTGTCTGCCAGCTTGAAGCGCGAGCCTCTGAGCTCGTGCAGAGTGCGTTTCCTTTTCTGGATGGGGGTGGGGGCCCTGGGCCGGGCTTCTGGCAGGTTCTGGCCGCCCCAGGCCTTGGAGAGGAAGCGGCACTTGTGCTTCCTCCTTGGCACACTCTGGCTTTTGCACGCCCGTGGGGGGTGGGGGTTGGGGTGCACACTCGCAAGGGAGGGGGGGGGGAGGGAAAGGAGGAGGAAGTGGGGGGGAGGGAGGGAGGCCGGGCCTGCTCAGCTGCTGCTGCTGCTGCTGCCGCCGCTGCTGTGCTTGCCTTGTTGCCATGGCAACAACAGGCAGGCCCGATTTGCCCTCATCCCCGACCGCCCTATTAACTTTTCAGGCAAGATGACGTCACGGGCCGGGCAGCCAATGGCCTCGCAGCGACGGCTTTGTTGCTGGGGCGATGGGACGGATTGTGCGGGTGGGGGGGGCTTGGCAACAGCTGCTAAGGCCAGCACGTGCAGGCACGCACATCCACAGGGCACGCCCGGACACGCTCCTGCACACATGGAACACGCCTGCACATGCTAGGCGGGGGTGGGGTGGGGAGCGAGGGGGCAGGCTTTGGGCTGCTCTACCTGTGCGGTTGTGGCCTCACCTGCCCCCACCCCACCCCTTTCCCCAGGTCTCCCCAAGATATTGGGTTTTTTTTTTGTGGGGTGGGTGTGTGTCTGGATTACAGGGCCCATCCTGCTCAGCCGCCGAGCCGGGGTTAGTGGAAAGTTAGAGGTTTTAACTGCTCTCCTGTGGGGTCCCGGCCTAACCCGGGGGCCCCTTTTCTAAGATATTCCAGGCTGCCTTGGTGGACCGGATTATAGGACCCATCCTCCCCAGCTGCCTTAGCTGAGGATGGGGCATTAGATGAGAGGCAGGCGGTGCCCCACAGAGCTTTGGCTGCACTACCTGAGAGGTCCCAGCCTAACCCGGGCCCCCTTTTTTCCGAGCTATTCCAGGCTGCCTGGCGGTCTGGACTACAGGGCCCATCCTCCCCGGTTGCCTACCTGGGGGAATGGGAGTTCATGAGAGACAGGCTAGGCTCTGCCCCCAACCCCCAACCCCGAGACAGATCTTACCTGTGGGGTCTTGAAGGCCTTACCTGGCCACCTTTTCCAAGATATTCCAGGTTGCCTGGCAGTCTGGACTACAGTACCCATCTTCCCCAGTGGGCTACTGAGGGTGGCCCGATGGGGAGGAGGGGAGCGAGGGGGCTGGCTGTGGCCCTGGCGAGAGCTTTGGCTGCTGCACCTGCCGGGCCACGGCCTAAGATGACCTTTCCAGACCTTCGAGCTATTCCAGAGGGGACTAGACTACAGGGCCCATCCTCCCCATCTGGCTGGTGCTTAGCGCTGCCATAGGGTGCCGGATGTCCCCTCCTCTCACCCCCTCCCTCCTCCTGCCCCAATTTGCCCTGCAGGGGTGCCCCGTTGATTTCCCCAGCCTACTCCGACCTCTCCCCCCCCCTCCTGTCATCTCCCAGAACCCCCCAAATTCTCCTCCGGTTGCCCCCCCGGCCCCCCGATCTCTAGGCTTTCCCCCCAATTTCGCCTCCCACCAAAACGGGGCAGGGGTCGGTCTCGATTAAGGTGGCCCGCTGCTCTTTTTCTTGCCCAGACTGGTCCTTGTTTTCCTTACCTCAAGAAAAACGGGTGGACTTCAACTCCCAGAATTCCCCAGGCAGCGTGATTTAAGATAGGTGGACTTCAATTCCCAGAATTCCTCAGGCAGTGTGATTTAAAATGGGTGGACTTCAACTCCCAGAATTCCCCAGCCAGTGTCATTTAAGAGGGGTGGACTTCAACTCCCAGAATTCCCCAGCCAGCCTGCTTTAAGATTAGTGGACTTCAACTCCCAGAATTCCCCAGCCAGCCTGATTTAAGAGGGGTGGACTTCAACTCCCAGAATTCCCCAGCCAGTTTGATTTAAGAGGGGTGGACTTCAA